GGCTTCTGCAGGGCTGTGGCCTCCTGGGTGACAGGATAGCACAGAAAACCCAGACGCCAGCACAGGCAGCTGGGGGCGGGGGCTCTCCAGAGACACAGAGCCAATAGCAGAGAGATATAAATGAGAGGAGTATTAGGGGACTCAGCTCATGTGGTGTGGGGACTGATAAGTCTCAGGAGGCCACCTGCAGCCTGGAGACCCTCAGATGCCAACCAGGTGGCTCAGTCCCCTTCCCAAGGCCTCAGGTCCAAGGAAGCCACAGGCTTGAGAACCCGGGCGCCACTGGCCACATCCTGGAGCCCAGAGTCCCGAGCCCCCAGAGTTGTGATGCCAGCAGAAGAGGGGGTCCTGACCCAGGAAGGGAGGAAACCACATCTGCACTCTCTCCAGGGCCCCTGCCGATGGGATGGTGCCTGCACACACTGAAGATGGGTCTTCCCCAGTGCACCTGCTCATGTGCCACTTCCTGCAGCACACCCCCAGACATGCCCAGAAGTCACACTTTCCCTCCCTGGAGCAATCCTTTATCCTAGAACTAACTTTCCCACGACATCTCCAGAACTGATGAAAGCCAGGGAGTGTCCCACTGCCCAGGGTTGGTCAGCAGAAGGGCAACTGTTCTCTCCATGCCGTGTCTGAATGCTTGTTGAATGAATGAATGATGGGTAGAGGGAACAAATGAAAAGTTAGGGTATCTAAAGCTATTGAGGCATCCACAGTCTCTAGCGCCCCTCCCTCCCACCTACTGAGGAGCTGGTGCTGGGCAGGACACAGGGAGGGGTGTGAGGGAACAAGGGGGTCCAGGGCAGGGGAGTACATTGTCTAGGGGCCAGTGTTCCAGAGCCAAATGCCAACCCCACCCAACCCTGGGCCACCCCACAGTTCCCCAAGTTGGAGAAGACCCCCAAGGGCCTTGAAGGAAGATGTGACTGGCTGTCCATCTGGGCAATAGCCCAAGCTGGGCACAAGACTCTCTTCCTCCACACCTAGCACCAGAGGCAACCAGCTGCTCTGCCTCCAGACTCATGGGGCCCTTGGCTCAATATTCAAATAGCTGCAGAAGCCAAGGCCTGGGCTATTTTTAGGAGACTCCAAGGCAGGGAGCAAAGGCTGAATCCAAGTAGGACGGGCATGTTCTAGAAGAGCACAGAATCAGCCTGGGGGGCCAGCCTAAGGCACTGCCCCCTGCTCCCGCTGCAGTCACCTGCATTCTGGTTCCAGGTGCCTTACAGACCTGTGCTGCTGTGGGTGTTTATTTGGGGTGAGGCCGGGATCCCTGGGCCCAGTTTTCTTTCACTCTGTGGGACTTTTATTGAGTAGCCACCTGCTTTTCCAAGAAAAGATAAAATCTCAGTTGCCCACAGGGGTCAACAGTCTGCCCAGAGGGCCACCAGACTTCTACTCGGAGGACGTCCGGCTCCACCTTTGGGGCTGGCTGGTGCCTGGCCCCTTTTGTATCAGCTCCCTGTGGCTGTGGTAATAAATTGCCGTAAATGTGGCTTAAAACAACAGCAATGTGTCCTCTTAGTCCTGGAGGCCAGAGGCCGGGAGCCAAGGGTCTGCAGGCTGAGCTCCCTCTGCACGCTCCCAGGAGGCACATTGCTGCTTCTCTTGGCTCTGGAAGCTAAGGTCTGGCCTTGTTGTTCCCTGGTTTGCCGCTGTGCTGCTCCAATCTCTGCCCGTGTGGTCCCTGGATTTCTTCTTTGTGAGTCTGTCTTTTCCACTTATAAGGAAACCAGTCATTAGATTTAGGGCCCATTCTAATCCAGGGTGACCTCATCTCAAAGCAGTTACATCAGCAAAGACCCTATGTCCAAATAAGGTCACATGCACCAGGTTAATAGACCCTTAATGGAGGATGCAATTCAACCCATGATCTCCGAGTCCTCACGTATAAAAGGGGAGGTTAAGTGGCCTTGAAAAGGTGGTGAGGTCGGCCCATACCTTTTATTTCTTCACTTGTTTGGGGTGGGGAGCTGAAGACGGTGTAGATAGACAGATGTGGCTTAGGCAGGGAGGGCTGGGGAGCCTATAGTGTATCAAGGCACCAGTGTCTGGTTCTGTATCGTGTGGTCCTGCCACAAGTTCTTTCCAATGTCCAAGTTCACGGCCTCCTGGTATGAGCTGCCCCATCACCCCATTAACAGTTCCTGATGGCACTCAGAAGGCGGCTGTGAAACAAAGAACCCTTAAAACGCAACAGTAAGCAAGGAAACAACCCAATTAAAAAATGGACCAAAGACCTGGACAGCTCACCAGAGAAGACACACAGATGGCACAGAAGTGTGACATGATGTATATCCTGTGTCATCCGGGAAATGCAAATCAAAGCAAACACTTTACATCTACAACCATGGCCTGCATCCAACAGTGGCAGCACCAAGCGCTGACCCCTCAGCTCTTTCGATGCTGGTGGAAATGCCAAGTGGCATAGCCACAGCTTGGCAGTTTCCCACAAAAGGAAACCTATCCTACCCATATGACCCACCAATCATGCTCCTCAGTATTTATCCAAATGAGCAGAGAACTCCTGTCTGGGCAAAGGCCTGCACACAAGGTTTACAGCAGTTATGTTTACAGTTGTCCAAACTTGGAAGCAACCAAAATGTCCATCAGTAAGTAGATGGGTTCCAAAACAGTTTCACGCAGACAATGCAATATTATTAAGCACCAGAAAGAGCTGAGCTATCAAACCATGAAAACACGTGGAGGAGGCTCAAATGCCTAAAGCTGACACTGTGTGATTCCAACTCTATTCTGATTTTTTTTTTTTTTTTTTTTGCTTTTTTGAGACAGGGTCTTGCTATGCAGCTCAGGCTGGCCTTGAGCTCACTTTGTAGCCCAGGCTGGTCTTGAGCTCACAACGACCCTCCTGCCTCAGCCTCCGAGCGCTGGGATTAAAGGCGTGCACCACCACGCCCAGCTATTCTACAGTATTCTGAAAAAGGCCAAACTATGGGCACGGTGAAAAGATCAGAGGTTAGGTAGGAGGGACAGAGGGAAGGATACACAAAGCACAGGAGATTGTCAGGGCTGTGAAACTATTCTGTGTGGAATTATAAAGGCAAAATGTGTCATTAAACCTTTGTCCAAGCCTGTAGAATGTGTCACACCAAGAGAGGCCTCCTAATGCAAACTATGGGCATTGGGTGATAGTAATGTGCCAGGGAGGGTCCAAGATTGTGGCAAACGTGCCACTCTGATGGGGTGTCGATGGGGGAGAGAGGCTTGCAGAGGCAGAGTCTAGGTATATGGGAAATCCTTGTGCCCCTCTTCCCCTCCATTGGGCTGTGAACCTAAAACCACTCCAAAGAACAAAGTCTATTTGAAGGGATAGGCTCAGTAAAGGAAGGCTTTGGCCTGGCTCCTAAGCTCCCCCCACCCCATTTCTGCTGGACAGAACCCTGACAAAGGCTTAGGTTAGCACTTCTTTCTTCAGTCTAATAAGGCCGCACAGCCCAGAGAGAGATGTAGACAAAGAGGTACCCCAGTCTCAGCTCCCTCCACCTGTGAGCTGTAGGTAAGGCCTCCACCCATCAAATGGGGGCACAGGAGGATTTCTGAGGCCCTAGGCAGCTCTGGTGACTCATAGCTTTGATCTTATGAGCAGGTTTGATTGCACAAGGTCTCTTATCTGGCATTACATACCAGAACAGTAAAGGATGACAAAGTTGCTGTTGTCTGTGAATTTAGTCTCTTAAACCCTAGGTGCTAGGCCAGGTGTGGTGGTGCATGCCTGTAATCCCAGCACATGTAATACTGAGGCAGGAGGGTCTTTGTGAGTTTGAGGCCAGCCTGGGCTACAAAGTGAGCTCAAGGCCAGCCTGAACTGCATAGCGAGATCCTGTCTCAAAAAGACAAAACAAACAAACAACCTAGGTGCCACCTCTCCTCGTGGCAATAGCAGCAGGTACCTGCTTGGTCTATTCCAGTGAGTCGCAAAGTGTGGAACCCAGCCTGGCAGCAGCTTCTGGGAGCTTCTCAAAGACTCAGACCCCTTCCCCAGCCCCCACTAGACCTGCGGAATCAGACTCTAGGGTGGGGCCCTGCAATGTGTGAGCTGTGAATCAGGCAGCTTTGAGGCCTGCTCAGTTTGAGAGCTGCAGGCTGGAACAGGTGTGTTAACCTCAGTCAGCACTGCAGGCACATCACTCCTTGAGCCTGACTGGGGCCGTCCCGTGCTTTGTGGGACCTGGACCAGCAGCCCTGGGCCCTACCCACTGGGAGCCACCCCCTCAGCTCATGACAATTGAATATGTCTCTGTACAGTGCCAACAGTACCAAAACTTCCCACAGCTGAGAACCTCTGGCTGGAAGGAAGCCTCCAGTTGTAGAGTGTCTCAAATACAGCACCATACAAAACCATAAACCTATGCTGAGTGCCACGTGGCTATCACTCTAGTGGAGTGGGTTGTCTGCTCCTCAGAGCAACTTTGAGATGGTCCCTGTTTTATAGTGAACCCCAGCTTCCAGCTTACAGGCTGTATGACCTTGGACAAGTTACCTAAGCTCTCTGTGCCTCTGTTTTCTCAACTATAAAATGGGGCTATGATAAGACTTACCTGATAGGATGGCTGAGCACATAAAACAACAACTTGTGTGTCACATTCTCAGCCCAGAGCCCCAGCACAGAGAGCGTCAGCAAACATTAACCACTTCTGGTCACCTGGTCCAGGCTTTTACCAAAACAGTTTGTGTTCCCAGTCTCACTGCTGGAGCCATGGGGGGTGGCAGAGGGAGGCCAGTTTGAGGAGGGCAGGACGGGGCATGACTCTGCTTGTCAAGCACAGGACAGCGACTAGGAAGGTGCCCACACTCACAGGGCCGGGGGAGCCGCGAGGCTGCAGGGTCTCTGGCACCTGCAGGGACTCCCCTTGGGCAGCCTGAGGTGGGCAGCACCAAGCCTTGCAGCCTCAGCATGCTGTGTGCTCTGAGAGACACGGGTGAGGTCTGGGGGCCCCAGGAAAAGAAGAGGAGTAGCACAGTTCTTCTTCTGCATCTCACATCCCAATAAAATATTTATTATTTCAAGAAATAAATTTTTAAAAAAAAAGAGAGAGAGAGAGAGAAGAGTGTCTCTATTGCTTTCTCCCACAGGTCAGGTCCTTGGGGACTGCTGTGCTCTCTGCAGCTGAGGGTTCTGTGGCTGCAGGGGCCACCAGGCCAGAAGGGGACGTGTGTGCCTTCAGCTCCCCAGCGGGGCCCCGCTCCCTCCTCCACGTTCAGGGCCCCGGGACCTCCCTGGAGGGGCTAACGGCAGGCTTGGCCTCTCCGCGCAGGGGTGACAGTGTCTCTGCGGGCCTGACCCGTGGACTCGGACAGTGCTCTGGGCGTGGGGTAGAGGGGCAGGCATGCCGCGCAGAGATGGGCACTGGGGTCCAGAGGTGGTTTGAGGCTGCAGCAAGCTGGAGGGAGGGACACGGATGCAGCAGTGATGAGGTGGGAGCTCCCCGGAGCTGGTGGAACAGTGCAGGGTGCGCCACAGGCTCCGGCCAGACCCTGCCTGCAAAAGGTGCTTGTTGGGGTGCAGGTCAGGGCCTGGGCCTGGTAGGGCTCCAGAGCCTGTTCTCAAAGGTCAGCAACTGGCCCCCAGGTTAGGGAGAGCAGGACTGAGGCTGCAGAAATGAATCCCGACTCTGGAATTGCAGGTCTTGGCAGGATGGAGAGAGTTGGATCAGGCAGGAGAGACAGCCCAACCCAGATGGGCATTCCAAGCGTAGAGGGGAGGGGTGGGGAAATCAGAGGGGGTGAAGGGGAGGGAGAAATGGGACTAAGGAGGCACGGGCAGGCTCTCTCGGCCGCCCCCACCCCTACCCCTGTCCATCCCTTAATTCCAGAGGGATGTGGCTGGTCCTCTGTGCATGGCTGCCCTCCCAGGAAGAGGGCACCCTCGAAAGCAAGCATGGCCCAGGCTTGCTTTCCGTTCCGGGGCCCCTTCAGTGGTTTACAGGCCAGCATGGCCCTTCTCCCCATTCCTGGACTCAGAAATGGCCAGGCCCCTTCTCTATCTGGTTCCAGTCTCGCCTTGAGCAAAACAAGGGGACTCGGACCCCCTGCTGCTGGGCATCTGGGGTGAAAGCAAGATGCCACCCAGGTGGGGTCCTGTAGTTTGGGTTGCTGCTTCCCAACCCTGGGCTCAGCTCGCCTCTGCCCACTTCCTGGCCCGGGAAGGAAGCTCCAGCTAGAGGCGTTGTAGTACGCGGGCAGCTGGAGCTGGGAATCTGCTGGTGCTTTCTCCTGCATGGGAGGCTGGCCTGGGTGCCAGGCAGTGTGGCTTCCAGAATCTCACAAGCAGCCCCGGCACAAGGCCACCTGGCCCTTGCGGAAGTCGCGGCATGGGCAGAGCCGCTGGTACTTGGTGTTGGCACCAGCACAGCTGAAGAGCAGAGGCTCCTTCTGCAGGTAGCACTCCTGGCCAGGCTGTGCAAGGGCTGGGTACAGGTGGTGCATCTCCCACTCCGTGCTGTCACAGGGCACCTGCAGCCTGCATGGGCACCAGTGGCATTGTCACTCATGGTGGGCCTGGCATTGCCCACCCCTTCTGTGCCCCAGAATGGGGAAGAGGCAGGTTGCAGCTTCTATCCACCTCTGAGGACTTGCAGAAAAGGGGACTGCCCTGGGGAGAGGGTTCCTAGCTGGCCCAGCAGGAGGGATGCCTGTAGCAGCTTTCATGGTCTACAACAAGATGTCCACACAGGCAGGCCTGGGTATAGCAGGATAACAAGGACAACCCCTGGAGCCTTCGGATGACTGGGAAGCATGACGTCCCCCATGGCACAGCAGCTAGGGCTGAGGGTAGGGAGCTCCCGGGCATTTAAGTAGGCAGGAGGACGGGGCTGCACTCACTTGAGGAAGGCGTCCCGGCTGTTGAGGAAGGGGAAGAAGGAAGGCTCGCAGATCAGGCCGTGGTCCAGGCAGGCGTCGGTGCAGGCCCTCCCGGGAGCGGCCAGCCAGGCCCGCAGGGAGTGAGTTGGGGGCCAGGCCCCAGGGACCAAGCTGGCATTGCGAGCCCACTCCAGGTGGGTGGCATTCGGGGCCAGGACAAAGGGGCTGGGGGATGTGTGGGTGCCTGGCAGGGCGGAGCCTGGGACTGCACAAAAGTCCTGGTAGGAGAGTGGTGTTGGGGAGGGGACAGGACTGAGGCTCTGGCCCTGCAGTTCCAGCAAGAGCCACAGTTGAGCACATGCTGAATACCAGGCAGCCTTGCATGCGTGATTTTGATTTCCTTTGTTCTGGGCAGGAGCCCCTCCGGACAGACACTACCCATCTCCAGGTACTGTGTGGAGAGGCACAGGCTCGGGGGTCAGGGCTGCAGTGCTCGGGGCTGTAGGGTGTGAACTTGGGCTTCTCTGCAGAGTGTCCAGCCTGCACCCCCGCAGCAGGCCTAGAGTCTCTGAGGCCTGAGAGTCTTGTCCATGCATGGATGGCCCAGCTCACCTGTGAAGCTGGCCCCATGGACTCAACGCCAGGGGTGCATGGCCTCCAAATGTTTTTGCCTTGCCTCACCTTGCTGTCTTCCCCTCCCCTCTCCTCCCCTCCCTTACACTCCCCTCCCTTCCCTTCCCTTCTCTTCCTTTCCTTTTCCTTCCTCTTCTTGTGTGTCCGGTCCACCCTCACTCCTTCCCTTCCTTTTTTACTTGAGTACTGGGATTGACCCAGGGTCACTCTATAACTGGGCTACATCCTCAGCCCTTTTTATTTCTGATTCTGAGATAGGCTTCATAAATTGCCTCAGTTGCCATCCTCCTGCCTCAGCCTTCTGAGTAGCTGGGATAATAGGTGTGAACCACCATGCCTATCTTGGCAAATGCTTTTTCTGTGTTTCATGAAGGGCACCTATAGAGCCAGCTGGGCAGAACAAGCCCAGTGAACCCTCCCCTCTGGGAGCCCGAATATCCCCAGTGGTAAACAGATAGGGCAGGACACATTCTCCGAGCCCTACTTTCTCACTGCCTGACAGCCGAGCCGCAGGGACCTCAGGTCCAACGCAGCTCATTTCCAGGCATCACTTGAAGACCTGGAGCCTGACGGTGCCCATCTGCTTGGGCCACCACGGCCCTCGCAGGTCCCCTGGCATCCCCCGGTCCACACTGTGCTCGCTGACTTTCAGGTGTTCTGAGCCGCAAGGTACGGAGCTGCTGGGTGGGCAGCCTGTGCAGCCTGCCAGCTCGGCCCCTCCTCTGGTCTGATGGGGTTGGAGCAGGATCCCCAGATCCCCAGGGCAGGTAGCGGAGGGCCCACCTACCTGGTGCTGGATATAGGCATGGATCCGCTCCAGCATCCCCTCACAAGTGTACTCATAAGGCAGGTAGGGGTCTACCTGCGGGAGAGACAGGCAGGTGTGTGCGCCACAGAGCTGGCCACTGGGGTTCCCCACACTCGGCACTGGGGTGCAGACCTGGTGGGCTCTCATGGCCCAGGGATCCAACCACCCCATCCACCTGACTTGGTCCCTCTTCCTCAGTACACCCTCCGCCACTCAGGCTCAGGACCCACAAGGCCCCTTCCCGCCTCCTCCCACCTCCCTGCCCAGGCGGCTCCCCATAAACCCAGCACTCTGTCCCCTTCTGAGCTATAAAGCTCTCCTTCCCCCAGCACCCTACTCTAAAGCAGTCCCAGAGCCTTCCTGGTACAGGACCACAAACCTGGTGGTTCCCAGCACCCAGATCTCTTCCCCTGCGCAATGCAGCACCAGTGCCCGGGCTCCTGACACCCGGGGTAGAATCCAGGGGGCTTCTGAATGTGCTCCCAGATGCCTCTGGGGACCTCTCAGGGACAAACTTTCAAACCCAGGTTTTAAGTAAATGCCCCAGAGAGATTTCCCTCTCCAAATGTCACGTGCCCTGCTCTATGACAGCAAATCCTGAGTTATTCTCCTTCATGCCTTTGGAGCCCTGGCACAAGGTGATTTAAAGGTCCATGTGAAGGGACACTTCCAGCCAGCCTGCCCTGCCTGCTGCAAGCCTCCTTTGGGGAGCGGCCTGCCTGGAAGTCACCTCATTAGGCCTCATTACAAGTATGTGTTGCCACCAGTCTCCACAGACTTGACAGGTGCTGGTCCTGCCAGGAACAGAGGCTTGTCATAGTGATGGAGACACGGGACACGACAGTACCGTGGCCTGTGCTCTCACCTTGAAAGGTCTCAGTGTGGGTGGAGAGGTAACCACAGGGGGCCTGCAGAGTCTGGAGACACAAAGGCATCTGCTGCCTGGGCTGCGGCGGGCTGGGTGCCCTGCGAACCTTAGGCCTCTCCTGTCCTGTCCCCTGACTTGCTGGCCTCTCCTCCCTCCCGTCTGAAAGGCCACAGGACTTGCAAACCAAGCTGTTCCCTCGTAGCAGGCCTCACCTGCTCTCAGCCCAGGCCAGCTGTGCCTGAATCTAGTATTCCTACAACAGAACTGCGGGATTTCCCAGGGTGCTGGTTCACAAAGCAGATTCCAGGGCCACCTGGTCCTGTGCAGTCAGAAGACCTCGGGGACCAGCCTGCCAGGGAATCTGCATGGTCAGCCCCTCCCCAGCGATCCTAGGCTGGTCTGGGGTCCCCTGCATGTCTGGGCTTCGCAGATGTGCAAGACTTTGGTTTCTTGATTCTTTCGTTATTGTTATTCTCTAATTAACTAATTAACAAAATTAAGCAGATGTTCCCATAAAAAGGGAAAACAATGAATAGGAAACTTCCTCCCTCTCTAGACCCTCAGCCCCTCCCCCAGGACAGTGGATGATTATAGGTTCCTCTGTGTCCTGCAGGAGTGACACACATACCACTTCTCCCACCCACAACCCCAGCTCTTGGGACTGCAGAGGACAGAGGACAGAGGTTTGGTGTCTTGCTCACTGAGCTGGAGTTATCTTGGAGGTCAGGCCGCTGTGGTTCCCTGACCCTGCCTCTGCCCTCTGCCATGGAGAGGGGGCATCAGGGCAGAGGGGTACATGGAGCAGTGGGGAGAAGGAGCCACAGGAGGGTATGCTGGGAGCTCCCTTCTGGGGCCTCCTGAGCACTGTCCAGCTGGAGTTCAGAGTGCTGGGGTCCATCAGCCACCCCAGCTCTGTGCTCCTTAGCTGAGGCCCCTCCCTGAAGCTGCTTTCCAGGCCCAGGAACTTGCAGTCCCATTTAAACCTGTAAACCAGTTATAATCCAATAGCTGGCCCAGACCCAGGGGCCAAGTTCCTCTTTACCTTGCCAGAATCCAAGCCCCTCCCAGCACCCCCCAGCACCCGCCCAGGCCAGGGGTTGACAGGGCTGAGAGCCAGCACCTTGTCACCCTCCAGGTCTCTACCCAGGCACACAGCTGGGCCTGGCACTTTGCAAGGGCTCAGCATCACAAGGCCCAGTGGCCACTCCGATGCTATGAGCTCAGTGCCCCACTCACAACCCCCTCTGCCTCACCTCGGGGCTGCCTCTGACCTGCTCATCCTTGCAGGGGACCAGCCAGAGCACCCAGGAGCTGGCGTCCCCAGGCGCAGCCCTCAACCACAGAGGGATGGGAACTGGAGGACAAATATCCTGGTTCCTGCTTCTCTGGGACAACTCTGGGCTGTGACATGGCCCATCTCACCAGGGGCCACCTGCTACTAGCACTCCCGGCCTCCTGTGTCACTCCTGCTTTCCTTCCTGGGATCACCTCCCAAATTAACTATTAAAGTCTCTATCTCAGAGTCTTGTAGGTCAGTCTCAGACAGACTTTGACCTTGAGGGACTTAAAGGAGTGCAGGAGATGAGCTTAAACTGATTCCTGGGAGGGCAGGGGAGCCCATGATGGAGGGGGTGAGTCGGCCTCTGTGCCCAGCTTTGCCTGCGACAGCTAAGGACAGGCATGGGCCAGGGCTTGGGGTCCTGAGTGGTAGTGGTTGATGTGTAGTATCCAGGGGGACTTTAAAAAAAAAGTGTGACCTTCCTCTGGGTCAGCATAAGCTGGGAGAAGTGGGCCAAAACTGTGCCCTTAAACCCTGGAGTGGATGTGGCCCTGCAGCCTCTGCCCTGGACCCAGCAGCTCCTTGCTGCTCCGGACAAACACAAATGGTCACAGTGCATCCTCCCTGGGCACAGCCCTTGCGGAAGCTGCAGTGTCCCTCCTTGGCCATCTGCAGGCTCTGCTGCAATCCAGCCAATTGACTCTTAATTGTTAAGAGCCTCCCCAAGCAGCACAGCTCCCAGGAGGGGCACACTCCTGGGACAGGCAGGGACACAGGCAGGGTGACATTTTCCGCTCAGCGCGGTGTCTGAGCCGCAGCCAGAACTGAACCACTAAGGTTCAGGGTGAGAGGAGGCCACCGCCTCCCAGCTCAGCCCTCCAGACAAGTAGCCGCTGAACAAGGAGGAAGGCCAGGCTGGTGCCCTCCAAGGAGAGGAGCTTCAAGGGCCTCAGCCTTCCCTCCCGGGTGCCCACACCCAGCTCACGCGCATGCACTGAAAAAGACCTGTTTCACCCTCGTGCGCTCAGCGTGGCCCTGGGCCGGCACCGTGGGCACCTCCACTAGAAACGCTGGAGCCGAGCCCCACCTGGGCTTGCTGAATCACACCAGGCTCTGCAGAAGAGCTGTGTGGTCCTTAGAGCTCGAGATCTGCTGCCGAAAGGGTATAGACCCGCACACACAGCACAGCTGAAAGAACCTCCACGGGTTTATCCAAAACACATCTACTTAGCACCAACTTGCGTCAGGAGTGTTCACAAGGTCTGGCCCTCCAGAGTGCTCAGAAAGCGATCCTGGATCCACAGCGGCCATGCAAGGTTGTGCAGGCTGCTCTCTGCACAAAGCATTCTCTCCCCACACCCATATACCAAGCAGGAGAATGAGGGCCCCTGCTCTACTCTCTAATCCACATGCTGGGACTCAGGGCTGTGCTTGCCAGGGGCAGAGGTAGACTCCTTTGCCAAACAAGCAGCAAGTCTGAGTTTACCCAGACGGGTCCTATCCTCTAACGGCAAAGAGCTTTGGCATGGGCCCATGGTGGTCCTCGCTGAATCGGGTCTCACCTGGGTTTTCATGATGGCCTTGATGGCTGCTTCAAACTCTTCTGAGTTGTTGTAGTCGACAGTCCACACGTGGGGTTTGCCGATGAAGTTCTCGGCATAGGGATGCTGGGAGAACACCTGGAGGGGTGGACAGATGTCTTCCCCCACTCCCATGTGGCCCCTCTCCCTGTGCCCACACCTCAGTCTCCCTCTTCCAGGAACCACGGGGCTCCCTCCCCCGGGGTTGGCCGAGCCCTCCCGCTCACCTCCCTGGAGGTGGGCTTGCCCCGGAAGAACTCGTGGTTGAGGGAGCTGTGGGGTGGGCTGAAGCGTGACTGCAGGAAGACACAACCATTGGCGATGGCCTCCAGCGGTGCCGGGCCCTCGTAGGGGAAGCCAAAGCCTATGAAGAGCTGAAGCAGTGGGGTGGCACAATGGTCAGGGCCACACAGCCCGGGAGCCCCAGGCGGTGGGAGGGAAAGGGGTGGGGTACTCACAGGAGGCAGCAGGGCAGTCAGGACAGCCCAGGCTATCTTGGACATGGGC